GCCTTTAGCAATGGCATTACCAACATCCCAGCAGGAACAGGAGGAATGCAGGTGCTTTCATAAGAAAATATTTTCTCCCCACCCAAGGGAGACCATTTACAGTGAAAGATGCTATCTGCTCAGCTGCAAAAATATGCTGGTGCTCTCCACAGAGATACACGGAGACACGAGTCAGACTGAAGTTAAAAACCATTTTCTCAGAGCCAGGGCTGCCCCTCTGTGCCCAGGCTCCCTGGGGGGAGGACACCCCGCTCCCCAGCCACCTCCGCAAGGACCTGCATGTCCTTTTTGGCCCACGTCTCCAAGTTTCGTTTCCTGGGGGTGAAAAGATGTTGCCCCACCATCTTTTCTTTTCCCCACCTACCCCTAAAAACCGGGCTAGATGCTCAGATTTAGGAGCATAGCAAGGGGGGAGCCTGGTGGAGGACAAGCCCACTGCCATCGGGTCCGCGTGCGGTGTCCTAGGGTCACCACCTCTCCCTAAAACCCCTCGTACATCTCCCGCTGCAGTGGAGGTGAAAAATCACCTCTCCCCTGGTGGCATTTGCATAGATCGCAGGAGATGGAAAGCATTTGGTAGCACTGTCCCACACTGCTCACCCACAGATGCAGGCAGCATCGAGTTCAAGAGGTAGAAAACACTGTCCAACACACGGGCAAAGCAGGAAATTCTTGAGTCGGTTGTTTGCTGCGTGGCCTCGGGCAAGTTATTTTATCTTCCCATCGCTGTGGTCACCTCTAAGCTGGCCATGAAGAGTGTTTCCCAGTCCTCGGAGGGGCCATGGAGCATCCACAGGGGCATCAATGGAGGGGTGAACAATGCTCTGAAGACCAGCCCTTTGCTTCTGCTCCCTCTCATGCCTCTGCCTTTGCTTTGCAGAACCTGCGAGTCCGGAGCACGGGGGGGACAGAGTTTTTCACACGCTCGGCCACCAAGTTCAAAGGGGCTTTGGCCCAGAAGTTCATGTTCGTGGATGGGGACCGGGCCATGTGTGGATCCTACAGGTAATCAGCGGTGTCTCCTCTTGCCCTCTCCATGGAGGTGTTGGTCAAAGGACCGATGTGGACCCACGTGGTCCAAGTCCTGGTCCCTGGCGCAGCATGGCCCCAGGACCCCATCCCAGACTTGCTCCCCTCCTCCTAAACTGGGAGATGAATTTGCAAGGCCAGCCTGAGATTTGGAGTGGGACCTAAGAGGTCCTCACCACCCACAGCCAGGTCTAGGACACCCCTCCTTCCCGGAGGTGGTGGGACACAAGTGCTTCTGCCAATGGATGTGACGAGCACAAGGAAGGACAAAAGCACCAAACCGCAGCCAGCCCTAGCTCTCATGTTGACCTCAGCTTTTCCAGTTAAACATTTCCTACCCAAAGTATTCTCCAATTTGTCCAAGTGAAAACTTAGTTTGGTACAAATAGATCAGTCTCAGTAAGCTTTTCAGCAATAAAAGACAAGTTTCATAAACATGGAACTGAAACCTTTCCTACTTTCTGGCCACAACAAAAACCACATTCATTTATGAGTCGCTTTTCTTAACTAACCCAAACTGAGAAAGGCAAAGTAGCCAACACTAAAGGGAAAAACTAACTGGCCCACAGCAAATGTCTTTTATTTTTACTTCAAGTTCCAGTGTGCTCAAGACTTCAATCCTTCATTCTAATTTGGGATGAGAGCTATTTCTTCCATCTCATTATTATTAATGTTTACAGTGAGATCATGTCCCTGCTAGCACCATCAATCCCCCAGGGAAAGCCAGGGTTTGGGAGAGGCGTGTTATTTACCAGCGAGTGCTCAGAGAATTTCCACTGTGTTTCTGTTCCAGCTTCACCTGGTCTGCTGCAAGGACAGACCGAAACGTCATCACGGTCCTCTCGGGCCAAGTGGTGGAGGCGTTCGACAAGCAGTTCCAGGAGCTCTATCTCATGTCCAAGGGGGTGAGCCTCAAGTCCATCTCCATGGGTGAAGAGCCTGAACCCGAGCCCGTAACACTGCCCTCTGTCGTGCCGGTGACCCCCGCCAACGCTGTGGTGAAGAAGCTGATAAACCCTAAATACGCCCTGGTGAAGGCCAAGAGTGCTGACCAGATCAGCAAGACTTCATCCGAGAACCAGGACAAAAACCAGAAGACAGACAACAAAGGCAAAGCCCTGCCCGAGGGCCAGGCGGGTGACAGGCACGGCGATGTGGCGGACCTCTCCCTGCTCATCCACCCCGGCCTCCTGAATCTGGAGAAAGCCAACATGTTTGACTATCTGCCCACTTGGGTCGAGCCTGACCCCGAGCCTGGGAGCGAAGTCTTGGGCTACATCAACATTATTGACCCCAAGATAAAGAACGTGAAGCTCTCGCAGATGAACCGCATCAAAGTCTGCGACGTCTCCCAGGCCAGCGCCCAGCACCGGCAGATGCTGAAGACCAGGGAGATGGAGGCCAAGAAAAACTCAGACAGAGAGCCACTTCTGGTGTCCCCTTGCCAAAGACAGACCCCACAGACCCCCATGGAAGCTCCTGCAGCCCCTGCTACCAGCCCCATCGAAGGTGCTAGCTGGACAACGAAGCAAGCAGGAACGTTTGCTGCTTCACCATTGGGCCACCGCTTGAAGCCACCGGAGGAGACACTGGAGGACGTCAAGCCCCCGGTTCCAAAGCCAAGGACCATCCCTGTTGGCGTCCTGATGACCAAAGTCATTACACCCTGCGACAGCGGCACTGCCCCGGAGGGTGACACACAGCCACTGCTGGCCGACCACGTGGGTGTAAAGCAGGAACCGGAGGAGAACCCCAACAGAGCTTCAATGGAGACCTGCCATCTCCAGCCAGACCGGCTGGTGGCAGGACCACAGGAGGACAAAGGGCCTCCCTGTGCCCACAATGGGCTGGGAGAAGAGGAGGAGGAGGAGGAAGAGGAGTACATCACTCTCAGTGACCAGGAGAGCTACTCCAGCAGCTCTGCTGACCACAGCTACCGCCGCTCCAACGCCTCCTCCATCTCAGACGAGTACTTGGAGGTGAGGGATCGCTACGGGCCGCTCCGGCGAACCAACTCGGACGTCACCCACAATGGGGAGATCCTTCCCATGCAGAGGAAGCTCAGTGACCCTCACATCAGCCGGGGAACCTTCCTCAGCCCCCTGGGGAGCCTCCCATCCCTCAAGCATGTCCGTGTGGAGGACATGATGAAGAGAAGGAGCAACGCCGTGGAGATTAGATGCGTGCTGCCCCGCACTATCCTGGATGGCAACAGCTCCTACCCCAGCAGCGCCACGCAGGTAGGACTTTTTACTATAACCTTCCCTATTTTTCTCCACCCTACAAAGGTTGCAAACCTGGAGGTGACCCAGCCAGCTCAGCCAAGGCGTGGTGTCATCCCTAGCTTTGGTGTCGCGTCCTAGATGCTGAGATCAGACTTCCCATAGGGGAGAATAACGCCCTACACGCGGCGATGGTAGGAGTCACCCAAGAGGTGCTCTTGGTCAGGGAGGTGGTGGCCATGCCACAGCTCTTGGTGTCTGAGAGTGCAATAGGAACGGCTCGTAAAGGGGAGGTTTTCAGGAATTAAAGGTTATCCCATGGCATCAGGCTGTGGGACAGAGCCCAGCAGCTCCAGGCACAGCCGTACGGAGCTGTACGGACTCCGTCTCACAGCCCATCAGCAGTGGCATCGTGCCCAGCCAGGGACAGACTGTGCGTGCAGGCGTGTCCTTCTCAGGCTTGTTTTCTAGCTCCTTGCAAAGGTGATTAGCATCAAAGTAAAAGCATTCGGACACATAATTAGGCAGAGCAAGACAGCAGAGAAACAGGGACAGCAACCTCTGTGGGCGAGCATTGCAGTCAGCAGCTTCGTGGCTGATCCACGAGTGATGCCAGACCTTGTCACCACACCAGGACGCATGACAGCACCCTGCTGCAAGACCACAGGGTGCACACCAGCATCCCCGCTGCTGGAGCATGGGGTGCACACCAGCATCCCCACCACGACAGGAGCATCACCCCATCCAGGCAGGGGGATCACAGGGTCAATCTCCTATTTCCAGCCAGGCGCTGCAGCCTCTTGCACCACTACAAAACATTTTGGTTCCTCAAGGCTCCCAACCCCCTGTTTTTGAGGCATTCAAACCCCCAGTGCTAAATCAGCAGCTAAAATCACTGAAGCCACCTGAGGTTATCCCAGCCAAGCATCTAATCTGTATTTACAGGGAATTAAATTTACTAGCCCAGAGTCCACTTGCTTCTCCCTTCCCAGCCAGTGGCACAGAGCTCAGAGCAGGGTTTTAACCTCACACATCAACTATCCCCTTGCACCCTGCAGAGCCAAGCAGGGCAAGGAGCACCAAGCCCTTTGATGCTCCGTGACCCAGGTCCCGGGTGCCACCTTGCTCAGAGTGGCCGGGTACGTTAGTGTTCCTGCAATAACTTGTTCCGGCCCTTTGATGAAAGGCAGATAATTAACACACCACCAGGGTTAGGAAAGCCAGCGCTCAGCTGATGGAAATGTGCAGAGAATAATTTCTCCCATGCGTAAAAATAATAAACCAAAGCAGTCCTCAATTAACTCTCTAGAAACCTCAAATCCAACAAGAATCGCCATCAACACCCACCAAATATTTTTATTCCGGGTCCACATTTCTTATGTGTTGGCCCATAGCTGAGTGTAGCCCAAAACGCAGGTGGAGACTCACTTGGGGCAAACATCATGTTTTCCATCACATTGAGAACACAGCAGCCAAGTTATCCCTGGAGCATTGCCTTGCCTAAATTCATGCAACCCTGTTCACACCCGGCTGCACGGTTAATAGAGTACAGTAGCGTTGGCTGATGCACGGCAGGTACAAGGAGTGCACCGGGCACACTCAGGTCCTCTCCTGACCCTCTCCCTCCTGCAGAGCCCCCAGGTCTGTGCAGAGCAGGGGTTTCCAGATAAGCCCGTCTCCCATTCATCACTCAGTGACAGGCAAAATACCCACCCTGCCAGCTCTGCACTGACATGGCGAGGCCCTTACCTGGGTACAGGACCCTGCTGATCATCCCCGGCATGATGATAACGAACAAGGGTAACATCTTCAGGTAGCTGGCCAAGATGGAGCCGGCCTTGGCGTGACTCAGGCTCTTAGCAGAGAGCGACCGCTGAACGATGACCTGTGGGAGAGCCAGGCAGGACAGCTGAGCAGCCACCAATGCCTCCTATTCCACATCAGCCTCCTCCTTGCCAAACTGCATCCCAAGCATCTCCAAACGCTGGAGCCACTGGGCATCAGGCCCAAATGCAGTGAAGATGTGTACCCAACCCACGGGCTGGGTTTCTCTCCAGACCAGCAACGGGTCGGTGTTACGCCATAGCACCACAAAAGCCCAGTGCGACCACAGCAGCACATCCTCCTGCCAGTATTAACCATTCCCCACCACCATCCTCTTCCCTCTCGCTCCTTCTTTTCCACCTCCTCCCCAAAAAGTGCCCACAATGAAATGGACACTGAGTCCAGCCTCTTCCTACCACAACTCCACCACCCACACTGCTCAAACCATCACACCTCAAAACTCTGGCCAAGCCATGTCCATCCATGATACAGCCAGCCCTTGGGCTTTGAGGCAAGCTCTCTTAAACAGGCAACTCCATAGGAAATGCTGACTTTAAAAGAGCTCAGACTCTCCCAGAAGACTTACAGAGAAGTGCTCGGTACCCACCAGGATTCAGCCACTCCTGAGCAAGCACTGGCTCATGCCACTGGTGCCGGTTCCTGGGGTGGGATGCTCGGGGAAGCCGTGGTTTAACTTCTGCCCGAGAGCCAGAGCATGTCAGGACCCTCAGGACCCACCACCCAGCTCAGGCACCATGTGCACCACATCAGGCACGTGATGACCTCGCAGGGAGAGGAGCTAAATCACCCTTAGTCCTTCTCACCCAAAGACATCTCAGACCCTAACACTGATTTTAAGCAATCTAGTTAAATCAATCTATCATTACCTAAGCTAAACTGCTTTAATGCAGCCCTCCTGGTCAAAGCGGGAGGTGTCTACTCAAGGACCAGAGAGACCATTGGGACATTGGGACTAAATGACTGAACACCGAGCTGATGCCAACAGCACGGTGAAGATGGTCGTGCCAGCGGCACGGCGGGGGTCACGGCAGAGGCAGGGCAGTTCGGTGCAGCCGGCTCTGCAGCCTCCCAGCCCCGGCTCATCCTGCCGTCAGCACCTGCGCTCGCTAGATCCAATCTCACCCGGGTAACGTCTGCACAGGGTGCAATCACACCTCCAGATTGCTGCGCAGACACGCCCGGAGAGGAAGATAAATATCTGGTGACCACAGCCATGCGTTAAGGCCTTACTCAGTCCAGAATTAAGATTAATGGTGCTCAGACCCGATCCAAACGTGTCTCTCAACCCAGCTAATCAGAGCCACCCCCGCAGTGGTGTTGCAGCTCACTGTTGTCTCCTGATCCCACCTCCTCTCCCAACCTTCCATCCTTTCATCTAATCTCGGTAGCCACCTAATCCCACAGGCTGGGTCTGGATGACTGAATGCTCTCTGGGCCTGAAACGAGCGCTTAGATGATTAAGATGGGCGTTCAGGCTGCTGCTGGAGAGAAGGTGTTGAGATGCCGCTGGCGTCCTTGGTCCTGGATCTCCAGGCAGCGGGGACTTGGCTCAGGACAGCCTCCGGGCTGCTGAGCTGCTGCGATGTGCAGGACAGTGCGTTGCCAGAGCAAGAAATCAGAGGAGCAGCAATAGTTAAGACTTGAGGCAGTTTTGAGCTGCCGCCGGTCTCAGAAGAATTTGGGCAAGGGAGTACACCAAGTGGCAGAGGGATTTGTCCATGAGGACCAAGTCCATGGCACAGGTGTGGGAAGGTGTGTCCTTGCAGGGGGACAGCATCCTTAAAACAGCAGCAGCTCATCTCTTTCTCTGCTTTTTAACAAACAGGGGACGCACATCTACCGCTACCGACCTAGGAACCCCGCAGGCAGAGAACAAGGCAAGGAGGTCTCCTGCTCCCCAACACAAGAGAAACCCTCTGGGGCCACCAAATACAGAGGGGATGGAGCCGAACCCAAAAAGACCATTGCAGGCAGCCAGCCCTACTGGCAGAGCAAAGCCTTCAGCCCCAGCAAGCCCACGCAGCCTGGCCACCTTTCACCAAGCAACACCAGAGCATCAAGCAAACGCTTAACCTCCTTGCCCGAAAGCCAGAAGACAACCGAGGAGATGAGGACACCCCTTGGCATCCCGCTCTCCAAACTGTCCCAGTCCAAGCACCTCAAGAACAGGGTTGCGGGAGCCCCGGGTGCTTCTATTGACTCCAAAAAGAAGCCCCCTGAGACCACCAGCCAGAAGGACCACTAGGTGCTGATGCAGGTGGACTTCCAGGGCGAGAGCAGTAGTAGAGTGTGCCTGGACTTCAGGCAACACCATGTTACATGGGGCAGGGGGATTCTTGTTTACATTTACCTGGTCGGTGCACCAGTACCACGTGGCCATGATAGACAGCCCGAAAGTCATCCCGGTCCAGGGCAGATCTCCAGAGACTGGGTCTCGGAAGAGGTGCATTGCATCGGCTCTGGGCAGGTGGCAGGTAGTGTTGGGAACAATCTTGGATGGCACGGCTTTTAAATAGGCCTCTTCCAGGTTGGGGTAACCTCCGATCTCATTAAAAGCTGGAAAGCATCATTGGAGGAGGCTGGTTAGTCGAGCAAAACCCAGTGGCCCATGAGATCAGCTGGCAAAACGCTTGCCAACTCATTAACTCAGAAGCGCTGCCCAGAGAGGAAGGGCTCGTTTGTGATCTATCATGTTTTCTTCTAGTTATTTAAGAGACTTCTATCAGCATTTTGCACAGCAGGTCCCATTACAGTCTGCCCTCCCTTCAGAGGGTGACCTGTGTCCTGGGACAAAGGCTCCTCAAGGGACCCACCTCTTTTGACCTTGTACTGTAAAAGCAACCTGTTTATTAAAGCTCCCCAGTCCCAGAGCAGGGGAAACTCACCTAGGACTATTAAAATGAAAGATTAGGTAGCCTTTGACTTGATATACTACAGTTCAAGGTGCCTTGGCACAAGTGTCCAGCCAAAAGTTTTCTACCCCTCTGAGCATTTCCTTAGCAGCCCCCATGCGGCTCCACCCCCAAACCTCCAGCAACCAGTGAAAAAAAAAAAAACAAACAAAAAAAACCAAAAACCCAAACAAAAACAAACAAAAAAGACCTTCACTGCATTTTTCCTAGGAAATGGGATCCAAGGTCTGGGTCTTAGCCTGAGCCCTGCTGAGGAGCACATGCCACGAACAAGCCCTAGCAAGCGAGCCTCTGAACCCTTGGCAGCTGCCTCGGTGCTCCTCCTGCCCATACCGCAGCCGCCAGCCCCCAGCAGCAGCTGCCAACCAGCCCGGGGCTCTGCCCTGGCCCCCCACTTCTTCCCTGCTCCTGGGGGGGCACGGGCTGAACGCTCCTTGCAGCTCCCCTCGTACCTCCAAGCAAGAAAATTTTGGAGCCAGAGGCATTGTTTTTCAAAGGAGGGAGGGATGGGAGGCACCCGCCCCGCTCCCCCCCCATGAGCCACGGCCACCCACGCGGCAGCCGTGGAGGAGATAAGGAGAGAGGTGCATTGGCACTTCCATACCCACGGCAGCTGCTGATGCTTGGGAGAAGAGAGGAGGCTCCAGAGCCTCCGCGGGTCTCATGGAGGGGAGACTCAAAGCAAGACTTCCGAGCATCCCTGGGTGGCTTTTCCCCAGTGTGGTCCAGCATCCTGCATCCCTTCTGCCCCCGTCCATGAGCTGCGGTCCGGACCCTCAGCTTGGCCCCCTCCATCATAGCAGCATGGGGTGAGAACGTGCTCCTCAGGAGCTGCCATCCTGCAGGACAGTGTCCACCAGTGCTGCTGTCTTTAGACCAAGAGCAAAGCCCTCAGGCGTTGGGTGCTGGACACTGGGATTGCCATCAAGTGCCAGCTTAAGCAAATCCCAATTTCCAAAACACCCATCCTGCTCTGTTCCCTCCTGCCCGAGGACAGCCCTTTCCCTGCACCCCTGCCATTTCCATCACCGACCTGCAGCCCTGTCCCCATCCCAGGGCATCCCCCTGACCTGAGGCTTTTGGGGAGTTTGCAAAGGGGCATCACCCACCTTGCCCCCCCTGCCGTTTGCAAACCGGCCCCCGTATTTCACGGAGAGTCAGCATTTGTAAGCTTGTCCTGCCCTTGTGCAAGCAGCCCTGGCCCCCCTCCAGCGCTTGGTTTATCCAGGCACCGGCTACTCCCAAGCTTTGCATGGGTGTTGGGCACCAACAAAGGCTCTCCAGAGGCAGAGGGCGAGTGCTGAAAGCAGAGATTCGGGCCCGGGGGTGTGGGCCTGCTCCCTTCCCAAAGGTGTTCACCGGCAAGTCACGACACCTACGCCTGCTGAGACAGAAGAGCGGAGCAAAAACCTCAGGGCAGCCAGAGCTCAGCCTGCAGATGCCAGGCTGCAGCCTGCGGGCTCCAGCAGGATTAACATCCCTGCGGTGAATGCCAAGTAGGGTGCAGGATGGCACAGTCCCTGTTATCCACGATGCCAGAGACTAGCAGAGCCACCACCAGCACCACCACTCACTGAAATAGCCACCGAGCTCTCTGTTAAGCAAAGTGATTTGTCTACAACCCCTCGGTCTTGCACCCACTTGTTACGTGACTCTGCCCAGCATCACACCCAAGAAGATTTGCACAACCCTTCTGCTCTCCCTCGGGAGATGCAACCTTGGAGCCAAGCAATATGGTTTTTTGTCCCTTCAGCAGCAGCAGGGGAGACAATGGTCCAGGTAGAGCGGACCCGGAGTGATCGCAGCTTAGCAGATGAGCATTAACATCACTGCTGCAGCTGTCACAGTCTGAAGATACAAACAAGGTCAAACATGGAGAGTATTCTTTATTAGATGAGCTTGACAAGAGCTGGAGAAAACCCAGCACCCTTGAGGCATACCAGCCTCCAGGTCCTGAGGTCTCCCAAGACCTGAGGAAAAAAAATTGTGTGACCAGCAGCTTGTCTTTTCGCTCCCCTGGATCAGTCCCTCTCCCAAGCACCCTCACCTCCCTGCACACACCATGCCATGCTTGCAGGTTGGCAAAGCCAAAAAAAGCTGGGCTCTGCAGTCTCCGGAGGGGATTTTCCAGACCTTGCCTACCTGCCCTCCTACTCTGGCTCTGAGTTGCTGCACCCAGCCAAGCCTACCAGACACAAGCCTCAGAGAGCCCCATGGCCAACTACAGCTTCAGACAACGATCAGCAACGTCCAAGCACCTCGTCTAACGCAAAGGCTGCCGCCGCCGCTCAGATCTGCTTGGACAGGCAACGTGCTCCTCCGCCCGGCGCAGCTCCTTGCTTCTGCTGGGTTAGTTAGTATTATTGTCACTTCTCCAGGAAGTATCTGTCCTTTCATTTGGTGTTTGTAAATATATCTTGCTGCGTACAGGGCTCGCCCAGAAGCGAGCTCTGCTTTTGCACAGGGGAGCAGCCGCGGGACCGGGCTGCCTGCAGGTTTGGAGCTGCTCCCACCTCCACAGCAGAGCTCCTGTGCGACACTGGGTCAAAGACTTTCCTACCTGCCTGCCTAAGCAGACTTCTCCAGGAGATGGTGGAAATCATCTCAGGAGTGCCTCTGGAAATCGTCCTCTGTAGTTAAACGCCTGCCTTTGAAGCTGGGACCTGACTTTTTGCCTCCTACTCCTCAGAGCCAAGAGCCCCGATGGCAGAACAAGGCTGATGAAAGCTCCCAGCCTTGCAAGGGTACTCTGCGGTTAAATGTACGGAGACACAACAGTGCTGAGTGTTCAGAAAGGACTGGTGATAAACCCTGCTCACTCCAGCCAGGAGGAAGGCACGGCACTGTGCTCTGCATCCCCAGGCAAACCCCTGCAGCGGTGCCTCGTACCGGCACCACCTTCTGCCATGCATGTCCCCTTCTTCTGTCTGAAGACCCCACTGCAATGCTGCTGCAAGTTTCCCGGAGCAAAACTGGAAACGCTGCTTTGCCATCAAATGCTTGATCAGTCTCTCAGCATGCATGGACTAGAGGCAAACATGCAGAGCAGCGATGACCACGGGAGGGTCACCAGTGCTGGGGACAGCCCCACGTGGGAGACCAGGGGGATGCTTCATGGCATCTTCACCCAGAGGAAAGATGCCATGTAGTAGTAGGGGAAGCAGAGGGGACATGGGGGGACCACAGACTTTCTTTAGGTGATTGCTATGGGCCAAAGTCCTGCTGGGCATCTTGGCCACCGAATTGCTCAGACTGTCTTCTTATTTATTTCCAAGACCGCCAGAGTGGGGAGAGAAGGTCCCCCTGAAAGGAGGATCTGTGCTGTCCCAGCTCTTACCTTTCACCGCTAGCACGATGGCTCCGAGGACCATGATGAGCGTCTGCAGCGCATCGGTGTAGATGACGGCCGCCAACCCCCCTGCACGAGAGCGATGCACAGTGTCGGGAGCGCTGCCAGCTTCAGGCTCAGCTCGGTCACGGAGTCCCAATAAAGCTGCCCGCGCTCACGGGGACATGCCTGTTACCTGCCTTGTCCTGCTGACGCTGCCGTGATGGGGGGCTGCAAGTGGGAGCGTGAAGGTGGAACAGCTCCTCGGTGGGTCTGGTGTCGAGGGGCGACAGCACCCCACGCAGATGGGGTGGGGGGAGCAGCTGATAGCCGAGGGGGCTGCAATCTCACCTGGGGCATGGAAGGGGAGCCGAGGGATGGCAGGAGGGGAGGGATGCAGCCCCACATCCCTATGGAGTTGGGAGGATGCCGGCCAGCCCCAGCCCTGGCTCTTTGGATGCTCTAGCAAGCTGATGGCATTCAGGATGTTGATCTCATCATTCATCCCACCTCTCCCTAACATCGTACTGGCTCTCCCCTTCATACATCCCTCAGCTCTCCTCCCAACCCTACAGTTTTATTTTTCCAGCACCTGATGCTTAGCGGGGTCCCCCTTGGCCATCCAGCCAGCAGCATTTCTCCCTTTCCATCCCAAGCTCTCCCTCCGGACCTGTTGCAAACCCAGGACCTGCTTACCTAGCCAGAAAACAATTACTCAGCACACACAAAAAAAAGTATTAAAAAGTAGCGGAGCTAGAGAAAATGGGTCAAAAATTGAACCAGTTTCAACCCCAGTCACTTAGTCACATCCCAGGAATTCAGGGCTGCACCCTCCCCAGCCATGACTGGGATTCGGAGAGATGTTCTCAGGATCAGGGTGATGCAATGATCACACCCTCTGCCTGAGCTCACGCTGAAATGCCTTACTTCACAACAAGCCTTGTGGGCAGGGAAAAAACTGAGATGGGATTTGCTTAAAACCAAAGCCTTGCAAAATCCACCATGTTTCGGATATACTTAAACAGTTTCCCGTTTTGATGGCTGGGACAAGATAGTGAGGGAGAATTTACTGCCGGGTGTCTCCACTGGCACTACCAGGGAAAGGAACGTCCCAGCCAAAATAATAACCAAAAGGGCTGGCAGGGATACACAGTCCTGCCGTCCGAGAGAGGGACTGCAAGCCAGGAACCCACAATTTCCAACTCCAGCTCCAAACCCTCATCTCCTCTGGATCATAGAAAACCGTATGGATTGACTGTCCACAAAAATAGCTGGTCCCACAACAGGGAAGCATGGGCAAGAAATATTCCTGAAAGCTTTGTGGAGGGAGGGCAGCAAGTTGCATTGCAGGCAGGGCAAGTGGGAAGGAAATGAGTTGGGTAAAGGGCTCTCAGATTGTAGATTCCATAGTAATAGTCCTGTAATAGGAGAAGCCCTGATTATTGCTGTTACAAATAGGTACACACACAAGAAAGCATTTAACTACACGATGGAGGAGGAGTTATTACAAATGAAAAGCCGTAATGACAAAGGAGGGGTCATGCATTGAGTCATTGCCTGAGCTGATGCTCAGATAGTGGCTGGATAGGGCAGAGAATATGAACCCCATTAGTATAAATCCCCAAAGACCTTCCAGGAAAAAAAAAAAAAAAAAAAAAAATAATAATAAAAGCAGGAGTGTAAGTGGTGTGGTTCAACCAAAGAAGAAAGATTGAGGTCAGCAGATGCTGAGCAACCTACCCGCAATGGTGTAGAGCCCCGTGACCACCAGCATCAGGACAGTGGAGAGGTAAAGGTCCCAGCCCAGGCAGACTTGCACGAAGAGGGCCCCCGAGTACAGGTCCGTCTGTGTGTGGAAGAAGAAACACAGGGGCTGGGACGGGTGACATTCACTTGGCTAGACGGCACCCGAGGGGTGTTGCAATAGCAGCACGGCAGGGAAACGGTCAACACTGCGGGTACAGCAAGGACATTGTACTGCACGTGCCAGGAGGACACATCCTGAAGCCGGTGCTGAAGCCCGGGGTCCCACGTGGGTGGCCATGTCACCTCTGCAGATGGGTGTCACAGGCCACCTTCCCCCAAAGAGCGGAGCGAACAGCTCCAGCAGTCATTTGCAACTGGGCTCAGCTGGATGCAGACACTGGGATGTAAGGGTCAGAAATGGGATGCCTTGGGGCATCAGTGCTGCCGCAGCCTTTGAGAGCAAAGCGGGCAGTTAGAGATACTCAGCCCGTTACAGGATCACACCCTGACCTGAGCTACCTCCTCGCTGCCCCAAGTACCTCCAGTTCCTTCCACCGCTGGCAGCGCCCTGCTCTCCAGGTGGCATCTCACCATGCTTTCTGCAGAGCCCTGGAGACGGGGCACCTGGTACCAACCGAGGGGCTGTGCTCCCCCAGAACACCAGCACCCTTGGGTGCTCCCTGGAGGCAGCCCAAGCCACCCCCAACCCAGCCCAGCACACCCGTGCTGTTTCTGCACCCCAACAGCCCCTGCGGGGCCAATGCACGGGGGCGGCTGTAGCTGGTATTTCACGTTCTGCTTGGCAGGATTCGCCCTCCTGGCACCCATGCTGCCGACAAGGAGACTGCCAAGGACCAGCTCCCCCCTCCCCAGCTGCAGCAAAACGGTCCGGGCCGTCAGACCGGTCAGGAGGGCGGCAGCGAGCCTGAAAATGCTGCTGGGGGCAAGAGGGGATCTCCTCCCAGGTGCAGGGACTTTTGAAGGTGCTTGCTGGTACCTGCAATGCCTTTAATGATGGATGGGGCAGCTCTGCGCCACATCGTTTGAGCCATTTAACGGTGCTCAGGTGGGTGCTAGTAGGGCAGAGCAAGGTGCTGCCCTGCTCCCTGGGGGCTGCAGCAGCATTTCAACCTTTGCAGCCACTCCACAGTGAGGACCACACATGGGCAGCCCCAGCATAGAGCGCAAGACCCCCAGGATTGCCGTTCCTGAGCCTTGCCCCAGCAACAAGCCACCTCTTGCTGAGCATCTCTGGGGAAAAATATCTCCTCCTGGTTTTGCACAGATGGGGAAACCAAGGCACGGGCAAGTGGCAGAAGTTGCTTTTGGCCCCGACGGAGAAGCAGCACCCCAGGGGTCCTGCACCCCAGCACAGACCAGCACAAATGAATCCTCCAACACATTCCCTGACCTTTGCAGCCCCCCGGCAAAGCCCCTAGAAGAGGTTTGGGGTTTCTGCTTGGCCACAGAAAGACAGACCGACTCCACATCCAACACGCTGCCTCTACCAGCCCCAGCATCTCCTGCACCCGCGTCACGTCCCACAGGGATGCCAGGAGTGTGCCTCTGCCCAGAGGAGCGTGCGCAGGCCTGCAGCTCACTCAGCTGCCAAACTCCCTCGAGATGATTGACATCCCAAAAGTGACCTGTGGGAGAGCTGGACCCACACAAGGAGGTCTGGTCATGGTCTCATGGGAATGAGATGTACAGCAGAGACTCAGAGGGAGCTGGGGGACCTCCTCCAGCAAAAGCACTGATGCCATGGGAGCAAAGGACCAGGCGCAGCAGGCAGTGCCCATGCTACCACCACGTCTCCACCCACAGCTGAGATCCAGCCACCCCCAGCGCTCAGCTGGGGTATCTTCACAAAGACCTTGTTTGGAGAAGGAAACGAGGCCAGAAGAGGCAGGAAAGGGCAAGACGAGCCGACTCCACGCCCTCGCCCAGAGCCATGACGGCTTCCCACAGCCAAGACACCAGCTCTGATTTGACATCTTTCTTCACACACCTCCCAGAAACCATCCCCCAAACAGCAGGGCTTTCTTGCCCGGTCATGCGGCAGCAGTCGCTTGAGATTAGTAACGTGGAGGACCGGTGCCATTTCCCATATCGCACCTCCTTCTCCTGACTCTGCCCTCCCTCCTCCCAGCGCTGCTCCAGCCAGCTTGCCACACAGCTGAGGACCGTCATCAGGTGATGGAGAGGGGCCACGCAGGATTACGCAATGGGAGAACCAAGGTTTGTGCCACCTAGCAGGGCTCCGTCAGCCAGAAAACCCAGTAGGTGAGCACACACCCAGCTTCAGCACAACATGAAAGCCCGTTCCCCGGCAGATGAGCCCACACCGTTAGGCATAACGTGGATTAAATCACAAATCAAACCGACCAGAAGAGCACTTACACCATGATCTTGAGGATCCTAATTCAGGGACTGTTCCACAACATCTGGACCAGGCTTTACACCGCAGTCATGCCCGGCATTCCCAAGGGAGGTACCATGTGTCCTCAGCTGCACTTGGGCTTGGCCATGTCTCTGGGACAGCCCTCGCCAGCACCAAGAGGCAATTCAGCCCTGGAATGTTCTGCTGAAGAGGAACCAACTCGTGGGCAACCATGGCAAAACCTCTGCCAGTGGCTCCTCTGATGCCTTTCCACCACAAATGCAATCCAACTACAGCTTGATACCACAGAGACCACCAAGCAGCCCTACAAGAGGACAACCAAGCTGTTCATGCAGTGCAAGTTTCAGCTGCAAGGCAGAAAAGCCCCAACCAAGGGCCCTCAGCCATCTCCTCCCAACGCAACCTGAAGTGGGAACGCAAAATATTTTGAGCCGCCCTAGCACAATGCCAGCCAAGCATCCTTGGCATTTTCTGGAGCTCCTAGTGTCCCTTGGAGGGATCCATCACTTGTCATCTCAGCACCAGCCAGAAAGTCATGCCTCCCTGTGACTGCCTCCTTCTCCAGCAACCCTTCCCCAGAGCCCAGCTGTGAAGACTCAGCCCTGGACAAGATATTTCATAACTGCTTCTCCTGACTTTCTCAATGCTTAATCATTTTTGCAGTCGTCTGCAAATGAGTCTAAGCCTTTGCTATGAGGAAGCAGAGGTATCTCCACCTCCCTTCCTGGTAATTCTGCTAGGGTGGGAAAAAATAAAAGCGCATGTGACTGAGTCGTTAATAAGACATCCCAAATACAAAAACAAGCTAATTAAAACCAGGCATGACCTATTCATAAAATAAGTCCTTTCAACTGTAAAAGGAGAGGAGAAGCCTTTGAAGTCAGGTCTCATAATCCAGTGAGAACCCTGCCTCCACCGGTGACCTCACTTGGAAACTCGTTCTTACCCAACATCGTTAATGCCTTCCCAATGAAAGCTGGCTTTAGAGACAGCTTGGATTTAACAATCGGTGAAGCCGAAGTCACAGTAGAACAAGTTACCCAGGGTACAGAGGAGTCTCCAGGGGCTCTTTACCAAGGCTAGGACGCCTGCGCAACTCCTCACGTGTTCCTAGCCAGGGGGACACAATCTCTCAGCAGGACTCTGGGCTGCCCCGCTGCACCCAGCCATGAAACACAGAAGGCTGGGGTCCACCAAAGGGTAAATTCCAGGAGAGGAGAGACTGGCATCCCTTCTGCCCCAAAAGAAGAACCAAGGAATGAGCACTGATGCCATGTCTCAGCTCGGGAGAACGTGGAGCGGAGATCCATCCATAAACGCAATGTCTGTAGGGAGAGGAGGCAGGCAAAGCCCAGCTAGTCCCAGGCTTCGAGGCAGCCCCCAGTAAGGACCAAAGGAAACCCCCGCCGAGAGACAGCACTGCCTAATTTCTCTGAGTTTTGCACTCTGGTCCCACACTCCCCGCTGCAGCCACCACCAGGGACGGGACACTGGGCCAGTTTGGCAACGCCCTGTGTGTCTGCAGACATTCATCCCAACCCACTGCTGGAAACAACCATTGTTTGTGAGATTTACCATGAATGGAGCCAGATGCCAAGATAATCCCCTTATTAGGCTGATTCCTTCTCTGTTGCATCCTGAGTGACTCAGAGATCAGAGAAAACTCAGCAGACCAAAGCAACTATAGCACTGGCTGAGAAAAGGCACAGGAATAGACATTTGGGAGTGTCCACTAGGCTCCCAACACAAGGCTGGGCTGAGAAGGGCCAAGAGAACCGCAAAAGTTCCCATCGGTGCAGGCACTGGGCAGAGGTCATCTACAGGTTCATCTGGTGTTAGGCAAGGGGTGACACCACAACGGTCTCCCAAGCTAAGAATGAACTTGTAGGACATCCATCCCTTCTGGGCAAAGCCATGGAGACACTGGAAACCAAAGGGACCAAGCACATGCCCATGGCATGGTAGGGAACCATTTTGTAAGAGAAGAGGGGACATCTGTGATAGTCTGGAAAGAGACTCAAAGGCAACCAGCCCTCAAACTACCGGTAATTTCTTTCTTCAAATTCAGACCAGCAAGAACTACATCACCAGAAGTCCTATCCCAGCTTCCAACCTTTCCTTTTAAATGCCAGCAGGGATTCACACAGATCCCAGGGACCAACACCACAGCCACGGATGCTCCAGCATCTCCCTCGAGCTCCTGCTCGGTCTTCGTCAGGAGCAGAGGAGAGATGTCTCCTGAGCAGCACACAGGAGGGGAGTAAGTAACAAGAGTTTACTGGACATTAGGAAAATCAGGGAATAATCAAAGCGTCACTCCCCAAACCTGCAAACTGAACTGGTGCTCCTGGAGCCACCAGGCTGATTTCAGGAGAAATGCCATAGGACTTTCAACACCATAAATGATAACGATATAAAGAATATCAGTTTTATGGGAAGAATGCCCTCCAGCATGACAGGACATGGTTTTGTGGGGGGAGATACAGGTGGCAGCTGCACCGACGGAATCACCAGCATCACCTCTGCCACGCTGAAAGCCCTTCATCAGCAGGAACACGGGAAGGGCTGCCATCTCCCCTGCAACCCGCCTTTTAAATCCAAAGCGTAGTGACTTGCCCAAAGTCAAAGAGCAGCTCACAGGAAGGAGACGGGGGTCTCCTGAAGCTGGGGACATCACATCACGCAGCACGGGGGCCTGTCCGACGCGGGTTTAGCCTCTCCCTTCACATTACGCGCTGATGGATGTGCACGGCCAGCACCGTTTGCAGTCTGCTCCATCCTCTGCATCCCTCGGAGGGGGACCCAGAGGATCCCCCCACAACAGCTCAGCCCAGGGCCTGGGGTTGCAAAGCCACCAGGGAGAAGGCAGAAATGCCGCCCAGGGAGCGATGGCTGCATCCAGCCAAGCTGGTGTTTGCGAAGCACGGAGCTGGGCGAACGCAGCGGCAGGCGCTGAGCGCCTCGCCGTGGGGAAACATGCTCCGGCACCGGCCTTCCTGCCCTGCAGACAGCCGCTTCTGCAGCCAGCCACATGCAAAAACATATTTCTTGCAGCCAGTCACCTGCAAAAGCATATTTCTTTTAGGCGGTGAAACGCAGAAGCCCTAGCAGACCCCAGGTCAGATCCGCCCGCTCCAACAGAGGCGGTGGTGCAGGATTGCTCCCTCCGGCAGGTTTTCTCCTCCAGATCGTTTCTGAGCTGTTTGCTCTTGATCTCTGTCTCGCTGTCTCCAGCCCCCCCAGGGCTGTCTGTGCCCGGCTCTCTCCTGCTTGCCTTAGGCCTGGTGTCACAGGCTTTTTAGCTGTTTTACCTCGGATAAACTCTTCTCACGGTTACCAAGAGGGCAGCAGGAACAGAGGCTGCACACAGGGAACCGTGAATGAGGCCAAAATGTGGGGGAAACATCCCTGTGGAAGAGTCCCTGAAAATCAGGCACTTTCTCTGTACAGGCTGGGCATCTTATAGCTGCAGCAAGGCTTCCTTTCCTCAGAAAACCTGCATGCCTTAAAGCAATGAATGCATTCCCAATTCTGTCCCCAGCTCTGCCGGGTCCCTCGGGGACACCAGAAAGCATCACGGCTGGAGCATGGAGAAAAACCCAGACGACACAACCCAGCCTCCAAGCACGTTTCACCCACAACCTCTGCTACAAGACGAGTGCACCATGAGTTTGGGAATCCTGACACACAGCCATGTATCTGTCAGGGCCACCTGGACATGAGCATCGCTGCTGGATCTACCTACAAACGCACGAGGTGTCGCAGACAGCATCTGCCCACGAATTCCCACCTCTTGTCCTGCTCCCTCTTGGAGCATCCTGCAGCAGCTGCTCTCCCCTGCCTTGGCTACACAAGGTTTGAGCCCCAAAATAGCATTTTCCTTGCTGGAAATCAGTCGTGGGTTTGTCACAGAGCTGAGCGGGAGCTACTCACAGAGATTTTGGTGAAGATGGAGAGCAGGAGCGACAGGCCAGAGAGGTACATCCTGATCCTCTCCCCTCCAAACCTTCGCTGGAGATACTCCGGCATCGTGACAATCTGCCAGGGGGGAAAGAGAGTGATCATTGCCCTGTCCAGGCCCCCTCCTCTGGGGATGGTCCCGGGGAAGGCAAGGGGACAGCTGCATTCCCAGAACAGGGCTTCGGAGTCTCAAAGGACAGTGGTGACAGCCCTCTGGGGAGCAGGGGACCTGGCTGGGGCCGTGTTCCCCACAGCAGGCTCAGGGCAGCTGTACGTACCCCAGATGAGATGTAAACCGGCACGAACACCCAGGCTAGCGCCAGAAGAGCATAAGTCGCCTGTTGGGAAGGAGGAACACGGCACAGCCAGAAAAAACACTGATCCTGCTGCAGCTCAACGTTGACTGCAGTGCTAGACCCTGTCCACCACTCCTGAGCCAGCCCTGGCTCACCCTCAAGTGCACGTTTACATCCCTAAATGGCTTCACAGGGCGGGGGGGGGGGGGGGGGATCATGGTGGAGACCCCCCCCAGCATCCCCGCCTGCAGGAGCCCGCTCCCCTCAGCCCTTCAGCTCCTGACCAGATGTTTCCCACTAACTCCTCGAGCACCAAGCAAGCCCAATGCCATATTTTTGCTGCAGAACCCAAGGACTTTGGATACAACGTGCAGGGAAGCAGGGAATGGGTGACCTATTCAGCCATCTCCCTGTCGGGGTCATGGAGGGGCTGGACTGGGAAGCTCTGCTCTGAAATGTCCTTTTCCCTGAGCACGTGGACCTGAGTTGACTCCAAACTCACTGTACGTGCACTAGACATGAGCTGGAGAAGCTGAGTTAGCAGGGTTGCATTAATTACCCCCTGCACAACTCCTCCCAAGCCTTTCGAGACATTGCGTGAAGCTGCTGTGAAATGGGCCATCTGCAGCGACGCAGCTCGAGAAACTCATTTTCTTAATAACGCGACACGTTTCTTACATTCCACTCGAAGCCAGTGACAGCGATTCCCCCGGCAGCACCGGTCCCTGCCAGCCCGATGAAGAGCCCCGAGCCTTCGCTGCTGGCGAAGAGAGAGGCACCGATCTGCGGAGGAGCAGGGGAGGTTCTGTGGGTGCTCACAGGCGGGGTGCCCGGCCGCCGGCTCCCCACAGCTTGGCACGGCGGTCCCACCAGCTGGACCAGCTTTGGTGCTTCCCCAGCAGCGCAGCCCCGAGGGGATAACTCGGTAAGAGGAGGCGGCAAAAATAATGTCTGAACAGGAGCAGCAGAGCGCAGACCTCCCTGCCACTTCTAGAAGCAAAGTGTGGCCAAAGATACACTGCATGTGATGAGGGATGTCTACGTATTTGCAAGAAAAACCCTTAACAGACTCCAATCCAGGTAGGCGTGAGCCCCAGCAACAAGCACTTGAGCTCGTTCAGCTCATCTGGCCATGCCCAGTGGGTTTTGGATGGACTTTCTTGTCTTCAGGAGGATGAGGAGGAGCCACACGTTGCTGCATTTGCCACGGTGGCCACGCACCCTGCCCGGAGGTGGCCCTGCGCAAGCAGCCAGTGCCAGACATGGGAAAGACCTACAACCAGTTTGTCAAGATCATACTGAAATAAGAGGAGGGAGAAAAACTTGGGACACCCATGTCTTGTTGGAGCCACCAGGAGCACACAGGGCTGGTGGAGATAGATGTTTGACTTCAACGACCCCTGCCCAAGTTCGGAGCAGCCTACGAGGAGACCCAACAAGCTGGGTGGGCTCCAGCACCCTTCATGCAATGAGAAGGGAAATGCAGCTCAAAAGACACGAATCCTGGCAGAAGGAGGTATACAGGGTGGGGGAAAGTGTGGGGCAGGCAGTGGAGAAAGCAGGGGTGCAGAAGAGGGAATTTGGTGGGATGTCCCTGCTGCCCAGGGTGTCACAAGAGGGACAGAGATCTCTACTTACTGGCCACCATGCCATGTCTCTGCCAGCAAGGAAATAGCCACTGACGGTGTTCCTGTTCACCCTGCAGGAAGACTGGGAGGAGGAAAGATCAGCACAGAGCACCCTTTCCCTACAAACCCAGACAAGGCACCAAGAAAGCAAGAAACCAAGTCTCCCAGACAAGAAGCCAAGAGACAGGAGACTCGGGATAATTAATGGGAGCTCTGCACCTCAAGCTTAATTACACGAAATGGTGGCTGCACCCCGAGTACCTGGAGCCATGAATAGCAAAGGAGGCACCCCGAGAGGGGGAAGCACGGAGGATGCGCCCATCCTACCACCATCCCGAGCAGACAGGTTGGCTAATAGGGCCCAGCTTTGGCTACGATTTTTCTGCAAGGCAGAATAAATGGCTTTGGAGAACCTTTGTCTGAAACTGCGGGTAGCCGAGGGCTTTTTCTGTTAAGCAGGGCATTTGTCTCAACACCCTTTAATAGACAAGCGGCAGATCTGCTTACGCCCAGCAGACCGGAGGCTGGGTGAGAGGTTTGTGCCGTGGTTAATTCCACCTTGTTCTCAGGCTATAGGAGTCTTTCTGTAGGGAGTGAAAAGGGCGGAGGGTTTGTACAACAGAACAGAGCAAATGCAGGACAACACACAAAATACGTAACAAGTGCAAACTACAACAAGAAAATAATAGAGATTTTCAAAAGATTGCACGCAGAAAAGCCAGCCCTGAAAAAAAAAAACAAACCAACTTACTCAGAAAACAGAAAGGGAACAAGAGAAAATATTCTTACCCATATTCCCACTGCAACGTTTAAGGAAAAATAAACCACTACGACAACAAGGTCAGCAATGCTGAACTGCTGCGAGGGGGTAAAGGATCCAGCAGTGGAATTGCCCTCCATCATTCTTCAGCCTCCTTCCTCATCCTCACACAGACAGTCACTGAATCAGTAACTCATTAGCAGCTTGAAGGTATTTATCATTAAACAAGCCAGCAGTAAGAGCTTCACTTCCAAAGGCGCTTGGGTGGGCAGCCTGGCTGTCCGCTGCCTCCCTCCCCTTTCAGTTTCCCATCGCCCTTCCAGCTGGCACCCGAGGGACCCCCAGTCCCGGCAAGCACCTCTTGATTTCGGTGTCTCACAAATGAGCCACTACTTAATCCCCATTTCCTTGGGCTTTTCTGCTTCTTCTGCACTGATCTTGAAGAAACTGCAGGCTCCAGTCCAAGCTGCCCCTGCAATTAATGCATTTCTGCAGTGCAGACTCTCAGGATAAAGGCCCCCAGCAGCCTCTTGCAGAGGTGCCTTAAATCTAGATATTGCTGGACAAGAAACAGCGAAGGCTTTTGTCTTCTATGAACTGTAAACCGAACCCCAATATTTTTCTTGCAGATAGTAAGTCTGGAAAGAATTTGCATGATCTTCTGCCTAGTTAATTACTGTAGAAATTGCTGGTTAAAGCAGGGTTTTTAAGGTGTTTTTTACATTTGAAGGATCCCAGAGAAATACTGCTAAGAATAGCTGGCATTTCTGGTGATCCAATACTTTTGCTTCTGGGAAAAGCACATAGAGATTAGGCAGCTCTGCAGTTATGTGCTGTAATGAAAGGGGTATGAAAAATGTCTGAGGGAAGACACGTGCACTTTGCTCACTTTCAACCACTCCAATGCTATGAAAAGCCAAAGGACTGGCAATCCAGTCTCACGATCGCAACTTGCTCCCAAATTCTTGAGTCCTAATCAATACAATAATTGCACTGCACAGAACTAGGCAAAGTTGGGGGTTTTCTACGTGCTAAAAGCAATGATCAAACACAGGAGTGACATGAAGATCCCAGGTGGAGCCTCAGCACGCCAGCAAGGGCTGACCAGCAGAAACACTCACAGAAGAGATTAAGCCTTTCCTCCAAAGGCCAACATGAAACAAGCAGCAGGAAACAACCTTTGAATTTTAATATTTCTGCGCATTTAGTAATCATGCTGTTTGCTGCGCTGGATGCTTGGCTGGCTCATTTCCAAATGGCAGCACGCTTTCCAACCATATATCACAAGGTCTCACTAATAAAATAAACACCCTGCAACTAATACACCCAGCACTGAGACGGGTCAGCGTATTTCTCCTCTCTGAAATAGCCGCTGAGGCACCCAGGAGCAAGTCTGCACACTTGCGAGAGGAACTTAAGTTCCCCCTCACTGCTCAACTGGAATTTAACCTGCATTAACACATTCAAAGTGCATGAAAGTGTTAATACAGCCTGGTGTACCTATTAACATCGCTGAAGTGTTTAATAACCTACTGTCATTGAAGTACAACCAGGTACAGCCTTGCATTTGCTCATTTCATAGAGAAAGAACGTACCTCTCTGGACAGGACCACAAAAATCAAACAGAATAATCTTATGAAAAATAAGCTCACAGAATGAAGAACAGCATTATCTGAACAGAAACATGAAGTTGCCTAAATAAAATCACCATCTCACTTGCTGAATGTACCAACAAGACCAAGTACTGTAAATCTTTTTGCAATATCTAGGTCTTCTAGTCACAGGCCTCCATTGTGCCCAGTGCTGTAGCAAGACAAGGGAAGGAAAAAAAACTAACCTGTTTTTATCCTTAAAAGCCAATGAATCTTCCAAAGCCCTTGGAAGTTTATCCCGAGCAGAGAGAAATGGTGTCAACAAAGGTTAATTTCACTTCTGGTTTTGAACATGCCTTAAGTTTTGTACTCATTTGTAGGACATTCTGATGGTGAGAGATTAGACCAAACAACCCCTAAACGCTCATTAATTCCACCACCATTTTGTCTGCAACAGGTCAGGAACTTCCAAGTCTCTGAGACTGGAAGCTCAGCATGGCAGCTAGCTGGCCATTCCACCCACATGTACCCAAGTACGGTTGGGAAAACAAACCTGAACAACTTAGGCTCTGCACTACGGCCATATTTTTTAGTACATCCATGCATTCAGGCCAGGATAGAAACCTCTGAAAAACCAGTCTGCTGTTTAGTCTAGAAAAGAGGAGGCTGAGGGGAGACCTTATCGCTCTCTACAACTACCTGAAAGGGGGTTGTAGTGAGGCGGGTCTTGGTCTCTTCTGTCAGGTGGCTGGAGATAGGACAAGAGGAAATGGCCTCAAGTTGAGGCAATGGAGATTTAGCTTAGATATTAGGAAAAATTTTTTTACTGAGAGGGTTGTCAAACATTGGAATGGGCTGCCCAGGGAAGTGGTTGAATCATCATCCCTGGAGATATTAAAAAAGTGAGTGGACAGGGTACTTCAGGACATGGTTTAGTGGGCACGGTTAATGGTTGGACTCGATCTTGAAGGTCTTTTCCAACCTAAATGATTCTGTAAGACAGGTTGAAAAATGACAACAAGTATCAGTATTAGGGAAAAGCAGCCTCTCCTCCTCATTTGCAGGTGTTTGGCTACAACAAGCAAAACGCACGTTACTCCCCTTACTGCCAAGAAGCCTGAATCCCGTTCATATTCCACAGTAACACGTTGGCATAAAAGAATCAATTAACTTCTTGATTTCTTTCAGTAACATAATACCTACAAATCATTTTTAAGTGGACACACTTTAGAAGACAAGTTACTAGTACATGAACATTTTTAGAAAGCTCACACAAAACAAGTCTTTATTCTTTGTTGCAGAAAATAAATACAGGTGCATATTTCATATGCTTTTCTATAAAAGCACTCCTACAAAATCACTTAACTGCATACAACAATACAACCTTTTTGGCTTTTAAAATGCAAATATTATACAGTCACTTCATTTTATTATCTTTTAAAGCACTTGTAGCAAGCAGCTTTGGAAAAGGAATGCTTAATTTAGAAGCCAAATTCTTGCCTCAAGTGTTTTCTGGGTTTTTTTCCATCATGTATATAGTGCAACTAACCTAAAAGCAACTAGAACAGTTTTTTTTAAAATGTTTATTTCCCACCCACCCCCAAAAAAACCAACCCTGCAAAGGAAAAAAAAAAAAAAGCTCTTAAAAACTGTTCTACCTTGATACTTAAACCAAGAGAAAATAAAAAGTGGCTCAAATATTAAGGTAAGCATGATGCTTCACAGCTCATTATCTGTTCACTTCCAGTTTGGCCTGGGGTGTTTCTTTAAAATAAGAAGCATTAATCATCCAGTCCTATATTTCTGAAAAGGTACGACATTGACTCCCCATTATGGATCCTGCGAATGGCTTCTGAGAGGATCATGCTGATATCCACAGTCTTGATTTTAGGGCACTGGAGTTTTTGTATTTCATGTGGAATTGTGTTTGTAACAACCACCTACAGAAAGAAAAAAATCATCAGAAAGACGTTAACTCCATTACGTTTTCCACCTCCCATATTAGAACTGCGAAAGGGAATGTCCACCCACCAGACCCCTGCTGATGAAAATAAGATTTTACATTACTGTCAGGGTCAAAATCTTAGGAAGACCCATGGATTGCTACAGGATTGCATGTATCCATGGATACTAAAGGCACTGTCCTTCCTTCCTTTCATTCTGCCATGCAGGTCCAAAGTAAGGTACAAAAATATCCCCCGCACTGATGGGAAAAGTCTGCTAATACTGCCAGTCCATCATCTCACTACTTCCCTAGTTTCCCACTGCTATAGTTTAAGGAGGCTTAGATGCTAATATTCTAGCACACAACTCCATGGTAAGAAAGCCTGAACCCAGAAACCTCCCAGCTAAATTCTTAATGCCAGTATATTTTAAGAATCAAATCAGGAGAAAATTGCTTGCTTAAAAAACCCAAAATCATTTGATCAGAAATTCAGAATCCATGCTTACTTCATCGATTGCAGATTCCTCTATCAGTCTGGGAGCATCTGAAGATAACAGGCCATGTGTGGCCATTACAAAGATCTTGTAAGCCCCCCTTTCCTTGAGGGTCTCTGCTGCGGCAAGAAAGCTGTCAACGTCATCTATGATGTCATCCTGTCAAAATAAGATTGAGTCAGTGAAGATTCACCATGTCCTCAGACAGATCAACACAGCACACCCAGATTGACATTACATCTTCTTCAAGTATAACAGTTTACGGCCAACACAAAACAGCCATTTTTATTGATGCTGTTCTTCAGACACCTGAGCTAGATGGTGAGGGCCAAAGAACAGAAAAGCAGAGTGTCCAAAACTACTGCAACATCAAGGGGCAGAGGGATTGCTCCATGAGGGGAAGAGGGAAAAGCCCAGACAACTGACATTCATTCAAAAACCAAACTAACAGGAAATTGGCCTTTCCCATGACAAGCCCAGAGATTACACTCTGCTTCAGAGAAACCGTAAGATGGCATCATCTCTACTTCACTGGCATTTCCAAACTCACAGAACAGAAACATGGTGATTTTCCCCTAATCTGATGTATAAGCACCACCTGAAACTCCTCACCTTCAGGCAAGCACTTGAACAGAAATTTATCTGGCCTGTCCATAGAAACAAGGTCCAAATGCTGCTTTTCAGCACAGATCTCTTCATAGTTCACATGGTCACCTTCAGTAAGTGTGCAGAATACTGCCTCATGGTGTAAGTGCAGTATCAAAAGTCCACCATCAACCAAAGTTTAGTTGCTGATACAGCAGAATATCTACTTGATTTCTGCAACTTTAACATGTTTAATATAATTTATCAGAAGTGATGGCATCTTACTTACCACGATAATAGCTATTCTTCCTCCTACATCTCCAACAACTGTGATGGGTGGTTTTTCCTTGGGAATCAGCACTAATTAATGGCAATTTTTTTTAGATGGGTAGAAAGGAGAAAGAAAGAGAAAAGCTTATACAATTTACTTCAAGTGTGGAAATGTCTGCTTTGCATGGGTCACCACTGTTATAGAGAGAAATGCAGCAACAATTATTTCAACCATCACACCATTACTGGGGAAAACACAGCAGGATTTTAAT